TTATACGACAGCCTTGGGGGGTTGTAATTGAGCTCGCCTTACAGTACTTGTACTGGCCACGCGGATATTTGATTCGTTTCTTGGGTCCGGTTATTGATTATTGTCTAAAGAGAATAGACAATAATATTAACTAATATTTTATTAACTAAATATTCAAGTACGAACTAAGCTGAGATTCCTTCGAGTCTGTAGGATATTGATCAGAGCCGAAGAAGTGCCAAGAAACTATAGCGAATAGGTGATGGAGTGGGTCTGCAAATGGCTGCTTTAGAATAAGTACAGAAATAGGTTCAATCAAAGGAACCTACTATTGAGGGACGAGTATTGTTTCCTTCGAGAAGACGACTTCGAACCAGCTGAATACGGAGCACGGAGCCAGCAACGATGAAGCGAAGAAGACAGGAGCCAAGAAGCCTCGTGAGTCATCATGGGAGGCTTATATACAGTGCCGACAGTCTCCATGTGCAGCTGTGACTTCAAAAAGGCGTCTCCTCAACGGCAGCTGGCAAGCACAAAAACATGTTCTGAAAGCACACTAAGAATATTACGATGTCAATGATTTCTAAAGTAATTATTCAAAATGCTAATAACAGTTTTTCTAACCACATATATACAAGGTAGCGTATAGCTACACTCCGGGCGACGACTATTGACTATTGACCGTGTGTGGCTTCATGTATCTGATCCCTTACGGTCCTGATCCTTTCTGAGATTCGATCTCTTGAGTCGGGGATTTTGCATAGCGCCCTGTGGTGTCCGTCATTTTCGATGAGGAATCTGAGAGCCGTATTTCTCACGATGTCACAATACCAACAACTTTTCTCGTCTGCTCTGCAGTACTTGGATTCATGGGCACCCAAGCAGTGTCTGCACATCTTTCTCCTCAGGATGAAGTCGAGACGCTCTTTACCTCTGACGATGTCCGTACACGAGTCTGAAAAGTGTCTACCGAAGCGTCCGCAAAAGGAGCATGTGACATCAGTTCCTTCGCCGTCCCCAATTTTTCTGTGCGGGAGTAGATAACGTCCCCTATATAGCTCATCAAGTTCGGTTTCCAGCTCTCTGATGTATCGCTGGCGTTCTTCCTCTTCTTGTCTGCGTCGTCTTTCCTCTTCTTGTCTTCGCCGTTCTTCCTCTTCTCGTTGACGTCGTTCTTCTCTTCTTGTCTGCGTCGTCTTTCCTCTTCTTGTCTTCGTCGTTCTTCCTCTTCTCTTTGACGTCGTTCTTCTTTTTCTTGTCTGCGTCGTTTTTCTTCTTCCTTTCTTCGTCGATCTTCTTCTTCTCTTTGACGTCGTTCTTCTTCTTCTTGTTTGCGTCGATTATCTTCTTTTTCCTGTTCTGGTCGCTCTTCTTGCTCTTTTTGGCGTACGTCTTGTTGTTCTTGCTTGGTTTGTACGCTTTTTTCTTGGTCCTCTTGGCAGTCTCTGTTTTCTTCGATTAATCTTTGCATGTATTCTTCGTCCGAGAGTACCTGTATTTTGCAATAACTCGGTCCTGGCTCATCTTCGCTGCTGCACCGCCTCTTTTCCGCACTCGCTTTGCCGCTTTGCAACTGTTCGTCTCGATTGGTTATCTGACTTATTGCATCGAGGAGGGTTTTCTCCATCTTCTCGACGGCTCTATTGAACGCGTTGACAAAACTCCACCTTCTCGTTAAGGATCCTTTTTTCCGCTCGAGTGAACTCTTCCTCGATATCGGATATATGACGATCAAGCATCCGCAGCTGGTACTCTACCTTAGCTTTCAGCTGTTTCACATCATGTGTTTTATCTTCGCCCCACTCAGTTAACCGTTTTTCCGGTAACCTTTGCCGGTGTACGCCGACATGCGGAATATTGAATCGAACAACATGAACCGTTGAGTGAAGCTTAGGATTTTTTCTTTTGCAAATGTGGCCGTTCTTAGCATTCGGCTGATGTATATCAGGAGCTCTCCTGCCCTGAAATCCTGGCCGGTAGTGGAGAGGAGGTGATGTGTAAATTGAGCATCTACGTTCCGAGCCATCTTGATGTGCTGTTCTATTTCTTGCAAAGTTGTCTTCATGTCCTTTTCTAAATCGTCAGCCGAAACGGATTCCTTGTATAAGGAGGAGATGAAGTTGAAGTCGGCGAGGTAGGCATTCCCCTCAGCCATGATGTGGATCTGAAACGATGAAGATCTCGATCTTTGTTACATATCCGTTTACTATAGCTATATTGTAGGTTATTGTGTTGGCTATAACAGCTACTGCTAAAATAGATATTGCTACTTTCGTACTAGATTTTTGGCTACCTAATGCTGTTTATTGTGAGTAGCAGTACAGAGTTTTCTTGTTAGATAAGATAGCACTTTAAGAACTAGTTTAGGCCCTAGCAGAAGCATAGCCAGTAATAGCCTGATACCGAAGGTAGAAATAAAAAGATAGGTGATGGCCACTGCTACAACCAGTCCCACTACAGTGAGGATTAGCGTCTTGTACCACTGGAGAAATACCGAGCCAATGTGGAATAGGTCTGGCCACACGAATTCGGCATTGGATCGGGGATTCTCCTTTGATCCACTGATCAAACATTCCTTGAAATGAAGCCGTAAATTTGAGTATGCCCCTACTGTGAAAGAGGTTGCCTTTGTGCCACAGGATATTGAACAGTCATAGAAAGTTCGAGCTTGCGTCGTACTAAATCGCAACACTGATGTGATTCCTGTGACATTGCAAGGTATTGTAAATCCGGCTTCGCCACAGAGTACTTCACCCGGATATTGTTTCGTGAAGAGTAACAGGTAATCTCTGTGAATGCCCCTTTCGCACAGCTGTAACACCCTGCTAGTTCCGTGGCTTCTGCTGTACAGAAGGCATCCTCTACAATTATTTCAGAAGTCACTGAACCCATGAAATTCATTATGATCTCTGATGTGACCATGCTTGTCACTTCTGCCCTTACTTTCGCCTTATCATCTTGGTGGAGGGAAATAAACGGAAAGTTTACCGGCAGTTGATTCTTGAGTTCATTGAACCAAAGACCTATGGGGAAGTCTCGACATTGGCAATTAATTCTCGTTTCTGCCGGCAGACATGTACAGTCGTTCACCATGGAACAACTGAGGTTCCTTGCGTCCTCAATTGTCGGACATTGGAGTGGTGGTAGTATATTGTCCTTCCACAGGGAGGTATGTGTCAGGTCCGAAATGAAAGGTCCATCTAAAATCCGTAACACCGGTATCGAAACAGATGTCAGCGTGAATGTTAGTGATCTCCACGCTTTAGGAATATTGGGAGTCAGATATTCCGTTATTGAGGATAACTTTTGGCTTGCGCCTTCGAAGTGTATGATCTCGATATTGGCGGCCTGTCTCCATCTATTGCAGTGAAAAATTTCGTACACCTTATCATTAACAGGTTCCAAGTAGATCCTATAGAATAAACATCCCGAACTTAAGAAAAAACAGTCGCATCCTGGTCCTCCACATGACTCTATGCATGCGGTGTGACCTGGAAAGTGATTCCCTTGTTCTAGTTCTGGAATGAGGCTGGACGAATTTATCGCTCCACACTTCTCTCCATTGCAGGATCCGACGTGTGCACACCTTTTACTATCTATTACTTTGTACTGTGTTTCTCGTGTGAAAAAATCCGTTCCCGGTTCACACCACAGGTCTAACGATTTCCACCTTAGCCGTATTTCATGGAGTAGGGTGCTATTGTCCAAAAGTCGAACACAAGCTTCACGTTTGAACGCGTTAACTTTGAAGACTTCGGAAAGTTGAATTCGACAAGGTGTGCTATTGTCACCAGAGCATATTTTCGAGTGGTGGGTGAATACGTTAACCATTTGGCATCCTTGTGTGGTCGTAAGTATCGCCATAATTGCCAAAATCTCTACCAGACGACGTCGTTGGAAAACCGTCCTGTGACGGCGCCTAAGATTTCTCAGCTTGGCAGAGAGAAATTTAAAGGCTGTCCAGAGAATATTGGCCAACACTCTCAGTGGTTTCCCGATAGTGAGGGGTACGTACAGAAAAACGTAACATCCAGTTATCAAGAAATAGAGTATTGTGGCAGTAGCGATTATAGCTCTCATAGGCCAGCACTCCGGGTTTAATACATTTGCGCTACAAAAGGTGCATTCTATTGATGGACAGAATGGTGCCGGTGGACAGGATGTTTCTATTGTTTCTATCGAACCAGGGAGAGAAAGTTTCCATTGTATCTTGTATTCGTGCAGAATGATCTCGGAAGGTAAAGTTATCACTTCAACTTCTTGTGGGTCTCTAATCTCGACGCAGTGGTAATCGGCACAAATTTCAAAAGGGTGTTTTTCTGGGAGATGCAGTTGAACCCCCCTTTTTGTGCAAGTTATTGTTCTAGTCGCTGGTGAGCTCTCGTGATTCCCTATTGCGACTGCTTCTGCCGAGACGCTTCCGACCCAAAAAACTAGCAACTGTAGTAACGTGGTAAAGAGAAGCATGTTCGAGGGTCCTGGAGTGTTTCTGCGCTCGTACGAATCTTTCGTGTAATCAACGGGTCTTCTCTTACGAAGATTGTACCTATGACCTCTTTCCACTTCTTCAGCTGTTGAGGTAGTGTCCAGCTGAGTGGTTCTTTCGCACTCCAGATCACGTTCTCCTACTGAGGACTGCTCCCTTTGTTGAAAACTTTCATGGGAATCTTCCTCTTCAAGTTCCAGGGGAGTTAATAAGTTTATTGGTCGACGGATTAGCCGATGGGTGGGTAATCGTATAACAGCTTCTCGTACAGTTCCTTGAGCATTAGCTATCAACTGATGTATCATGCCCATTTTCCAGGAATGCCTAGGCTGTACCGGATCGTTTACCAAAACTACCGCTCCTTCCTTGGGGTGCAGTGCACATCCTCGTTTCTTACCGATATTGAGGGTATGTTTTTCTCTAAGCGCAGTAAGATATTCTGTCTGCCAGGTTTTCCAGAACCTCTCTATCAATTGGCAAGATGTCTCTAGGGCCTTCATGGCTTGTACTCTTGTCTGGATCGCCGCCATTTCAGAGGATGGGAGGTATTGCGGGTCTTGTTCTTCCGGCCCATCACCTAGTGGGTAGTAGACGAGCATGTCTTTTTGAATGAAATCTATGGGCCGTAATATTGGATCCACGTGTGGTTCGCCTATAACATACGTTAGTGGACGTGTATTGAGCATAGCCTCGATTTCAGTTAGTATGGTCGTGAGCTCTTCCATAGATAGTAACGAGCGGCCTATTGTCTTATAGAGACTATGTTTGATCGATTTGATCAGTCTCTCATAAAATCCTCCTTGCCATGGAGCAAATGGCGTATTATACCTCCATTCAATTTCTCTGTCGCTCAATTCTCGTGAAACGCTTGGATCGTTCCGTGCGTTTCGGAGGCATTCTCTCAGGATGGATTCCCCTAGTTCGAATGTTGGGGCATTGTCACTCGTGATTGACTGTGGTACACCCCGACGAGCGAAGAAACGACGAAGCATATTGAGGAAGGCTCGCGTGGTCATATCCGAAACGACATCGAGGTGGATGAGTCGAGTAGTCATACATGTAATTATTGCACCATAGCATTTCTCTTGTCCTCCCGTTGCCGATGAAATTGAGAGGGGTCCAAAATAATCGAGTCCAATATGCTGGAAGGGATATGAGCGGATAACCCGCTCCTGAGGTAAATCTTCTTGCGTCGGGTACCTATAGGGCAGGTTATTGAACTTCTGACATTGGACACATTTCCGTATCACTGCACAAACTTGCGAGCGCAGCTGTGGTATCCAGTACTCTTCTCGAACCTTGGCCATTGTATGGTTAATGCCCGGATGACCATTCTGATGGATTTCCCTAATAATTATATCCGCCAAAAATGTTTTCTGAAGAACGAGAATAGGGTTCTTGGCGGTAGCACTCAACTGCGCTTTCCCAAGCCTTCCATAACAGCGAAGAATACCCTGCTCATCTTGCTGAATATTTAGCTGTTGTAAAGAACTGATTATCTGCGGGGTAATGTGAGACGCTTGATGATGTCGAATGAGCGCCAGTCCCGCTCTTCGGATTTCAGCAGCTGTTAGGTAGCCTGGCCTTTCTTGATGTTGTGCATCAACTGGGATAAAGGGTGTCAGGTATCTGCAGTTTTTCAAGTTGATACGCCTAGCCAGATTATTGAGGAAACGAAGAACGTATCCCAGAACTCTCTTAGCCTTCGTGAGCTTCTGCGCTTGAGCCGGATTAAGAAGTTCGTTCTTACTATTACTCTCTGTTGCTACAGAAAGAATCTTGTCAGGTCCGAGTTGGTCTAGACTACCATCTTGGATTTCGAGAGGATACTCGAAAAGCTTGTCTTGATTCGGCCATTGAGAAGACGACTCTTGCAAGAAGCTCGGACCTGTCCACCACTGATGGTTTTCCAGTTCCTCTCTAGTGAGCCCACGAGTAGCACAGTCCGCAGGGTTTTCTTGTGATGCTACGTAACCCATTCTAACTTGTGTGTGCTGCTTCGTAAGGTAGCGGGCAATATTGCGTATTTCCATAACCCTTCTATAGACGAACGGACCCACTTCTCGTTCAAGGTTTTGTCTCAGCCAGCTGAGTACGATCTCTGAATCGGAAAAGATGTAGATACCTTCAATATTGACACTATCCTTAAGTTCGGTGAAGACATGGTTAGAAAGTCGCATGGCTAAGGTCATAGCGTTCAATTCCAACTTAGGGATAGTATATTTCGATTGAAGTGATGGAAGCTTGGATTTGGCCATAAGGAGGGTAGACTGGTGGCCATAGCATAGGTATACGCATGCTGCCATTGAGGACGAACTGGCGTCTGCGAAGGCAACTAGAATAACCCCTGTATCTCTATTTGCAAGATAACGTGGCCTCTTCTTTCTGAAACCTTGAACCACCTCCACTATATTGAGCCATTCGCTTTCCTTGTCTTCCGGGAGGAGCTGATCCCACTTATACTGCTCTTTCCACAGTCCCTGCAGGAACACCTTTGCCCGATGGAGAAGTGGAAGGATCCAACCTAGAGGATCATAAATTGAGGCGATGGCACTCGTAACCGTTCTTTTTGTCATCAGTGGGGTGTCTGGAAATTGACAAGAAGCTAGAATGGTATCGTCTTGTAAATCCCATACAAGCCCTAAGATTTTCGGATTAGCTTCTGCACTTCTATCTGGTTCTTCTATGGCATCCATCAAGAGCTGATCATTAGAAGAGAATTCCCGCAGATTCATGTTGAGCTCTTGGAAAATCTGTTTCGTCCGACGGTATACATGTATGGCCTCTTCTAGGTCGTCCGTTGTCTGCAGGAGATTGTCGACATACATGTTTTTTCTGATATCTTGGGTCAAATCATTCTCGCTCTGGTAGGTATTGAGGTGGTACTTAATCGTTCCCGCCAGTAAAAAAGGAGATGACTTCAAGCCAAACGTCACTCTGGTGAAACGAAATGTTATGGTGTTACTAATCGATGGGGGTGACTTATGGTCACGCAGCCAGAAGCACCTTGTTGCATCACGATCTCGCTCTTGTAAACGAACTTGGAGAAAGGCTTTTTCAATGTCCGAAATTATTGCTATTTTCCCAATTCCGAAACGTAACAGGATTCCGTGTATTCGGGGAAGAAGTACGGGTCCCCTATATAGTACGTCGTTCAACGAGGGCAATCCTTATAGTGGGCTGAAGCATCAAAAACGACTCTCAGTTTTGTTGTAGTTTTGTGCGGGGTAATCACTGGTTGGTGCGGAATGTAGTGAACTTGATTCCCCTGAACTTCAGACCCTTCTTCTGCAACTTCAATGATGTTCCGTTGCAGTTGATCTTGAAAAACTTCGTTGTATTGGTCCAGGAGTTGTTCGTCTTTACTTATTGATGCCCATACATTGACTAGACGTTTGTAAGCTATAGCTTTGTTGTCTGGCAAGTAAGGACAGTGCTCGACCCAAGGGAGGCGTACGTAATATCCGTCTGGTCGACGCTCTATGGTATTGTTGAATTTCTCCCATACTTGCTGATCGAGATTAGCCCGAGCCTCCTTCTCTGTCCAAGAAAATTGTTCCGTTCCCGCGGCATCCAATGTCCAGAACTTGTCCCATCTTTCTTGCTCGTCCTGGGATATTTCACTGTCTTCCGTATCTTGCTGGACCGTATCCATCGACCAAATAGTATCCCATTGGTCTATGTCATCTAGGAGGGGCTGTGATATTTGAAGTACATGCCCATTTTGAGTTGGTTTTCCCGAAACTAGATACCCTATTTTCGTCGGTAAAACGTGCATGCCTGATGGTAGGCTTATTGAAGTTTTGTCGCTTCTCACAAACTCCCACAGCTGATCGCATCCTAAAAGGATGGATGGCTTTATTTTCCGCCTGTTTTGATTCCCCGTTATTGGTAGGCCTGAAGAGCGGAGAAACTCCATATCGTCGACTGTGAGGGTTGGTGATTCGAGCGGCCGCGTCAAGATATGATAGGTGAACAAGTCGAGGGTATGAGGGTTACCGTCTATATCCCAGACGTCCAGGCGTACCCTATTGCAGCGACACTTTCTGACCTCATCTGATCCGAAGGTCATAAGCTGAACATCTTTTACCGCAATAATCGGTAGCTGTAGTTGTTCAGCTAGAGCACTATCTATGAAGGATAGTTCCGCTCCGGTATCTAGCAGCACATTCACAGTCATAAGTGCTCTCGTTCTGGTGTCGGCAACTGTTACTTCCCCTATTGGTAAGCACGGATGCGTAGGTGAAATCTTGTTAGGGGTGGAATGTTGCTGAATTACAGCAGTTTCTACCGATTCTCTGTCAGCCGGGGCCAACTCCTCGTTTTCGGGGGTCGTAATGGCATGTGACTTGACTTTCATTGTCGTCCTGCCATTGCTACCATTGTTTTCCCGAACCTTTTCCTTTCTTGACGCATCTACTGGGCCACTTCCTGCATTTCGGATATCCTTAGTAATGGAAGATCTGGCCGGAGGAGTAACCCTTGTTATTGGCTCTGAAGCAGCAAGATGTGTGGTGAGCTCCCTGGCACTTGAAGCACATGCGCCCCCTACACTGACTGGTATTGTGAGAAGGAGAAGCGCATATTAGACAGAGGCTATGCTGCCGAAGGTAGGCCGATCGCTCTTGTGGGGTGGCATATTTGGTGCAGTAGTGAGGTGGGTGCCTCCCTCTGCAGTACATGCAGAGTCCCTTGATCAGGCCTTTAGGACCTGATTTATTGGTGGTAGTAGTACCTTCCTTCGTGGGCTGTTTGGGTCTCGTTTCTGAAAACATCAGAAACAATTCCTCCGTGCTTATCACCTCATCAAGGTATTGAAAAAGTAAGCTCATCGAAAAAGGGGTAGTTGATGCGCTTCCTTGTTTTTTCGCTATCACTTTACGCTTAAGCGCATCAGGGAACTTACACAGAACCTTTTTGATAAGCCAAGAGCTATCAACGTCCTCCCCTTTCTCCTCTAATTGGGTAATAATGACTTGAAGCTGTCCCAAGAGATGACGTTGATCCTTTACTGTCTGTCCACGTAAAGCACAATTGTCAAGTTTCTCCACTAGTGCATTAATCAAAGCTTCCCTATTGTTGTATTTGCCGTGGAGAAACTGTATGGCTTTATTGTAATTATCCCCCGTAACCTGGAATTTCTTGATGGAATCTCTGGCCTCTCCTTTGAGAGCGTTCAGGAGGTAATTGAATTTGACCATATCCGGGATGTCTTGGGAATGGATGTTGGTATTGAAAATTCCCCAAAAACTATCCCATTCCCAGATATTTCCTCCGAAAGTAGGTATAGGAATAGGGGGAAGCTCCAGAGTTTTGACTTTGGCCTGTCTTATTGAGGGAAGCATATTGGGCTCCACTGAAGCAACTATTGGCTGAGCTATTGAAGATCTAAGAGCTCGCAGCCGCGCTTGAAGAAGAAGTTGGTAATCAAATGCCATTGTTAGGACCAGTTCGCTTTTGCTAACGTACTCCTCAAAATCGCCAGGTTCCACACCGGAAAGATTAGGGCTGTCAAATAGTGAGGCTAAGTCACTCAGAGCCTTTTCTACTTTCGATATTGAAAGTTCAGTGACGCTGATACCCTCTTCCAATTCATTAATATGCGCCAGGTTAACATCGCGCGACAAGGTGGGATCCAGTGGAGTATCCTCGAGATTCGCTTCTTTTAGCTTAGTAAGTAAATGCTCGAGTTTATTGACGTGAGTTGAGAGAAGACGCTTCTTAGTAGCAATCAAAGTAGACATTCTCACTCAAAAAATGGATCCTTTTGAGTCGAATTTATGAATGTATATTGCCCGTCAAATATTGGCCCAAGAGAAGAGTGGGACAGTATTGGTGAGAACGGACTCGAGTATTGGAAGAGAGGAAAATAATCAGCGAAATGGAAAAAGAAGAAATGCGGTTGGTCAAAAAGAAAAAGGTGCGAAAACAACCGCTGGAGAATTTTCCGGTAAAGTAAATATGGAACCGACCTGAATTCGTAGGAGGTCGATGCACCAATTTAGCAGCCTTGGGGGGTTGTATTGAGCTCGCCTTACAGTACTTGTACTGGCCACGCGGATATTGATTCGTTTCTTGGTACGGTTATTGATTATTGTCTAAAGAGAATAGACAATAATATTAACTAATATTTATTAACTAAATATTCAAGTACGAACTAAGCTGAGATTCCTTCGAGTCTGTAGGATATTGATCAGAGCCGAAGAAGTGCCAAGAAACTATAGCGAATAGGTGATGGAGTGGGTCTGCAAATGGCTGCTTTAGAATAAGTACAGAAATAGGTTCAATCAAAGGAACCTACTATTGAGGGACGAGTATTGTTTCCTTCGAGAAGACGACTTCGAACCAGCTGAATACGGAGCACGGAGCCAGCAACGATGAAGCGAAGAAGACAGGAGCCAAGAAGCCAAGAAGCCTCGTGAGTCATCATGGGAGGCTTATATACAGTGCCGACAGTCTCCATGTGCAGCTGTGACTTCAAAAAGGCGTCTCCTCAACGGCAGCTGGCAAGCACAAAAACATGTTCTGAAAGCACACTAAGAATATTACGATGTCAATGATTTCTAAAGTAATTATTCAAAATGCTAATAACAGTTTTTCTAACCACATATATACAAGGTAGCGTATAGCTACAGCTCACTGAAGAGTCAAAGTTTTGGTCATGGGAGGTATCTTCAGCGCGAAAACGGAGGTGTGAACATACAACTAGTTAGGGAATTTTGTTAGTTCTATGGCTAGCAGATGTCAATCGCTGCGAAACTCGATCCACTCGCTCAGCTGTTGACAGGGATCGACACCTGTGCAATGTGTTCGTTACGTACATAACACGCGATCAGCTAAGCTTATGTAGCTCATCGTGAAGCCTTCCGTGAACATTTCACAGAAATTGATGCTTTTCGGAAGGAGGACTAGCTGATTTCAGTAGATCACAACACGTAGCCGAGTTTATCGCCATAACTTGGCATGGAATTGTGAAAGTCGAATGAGGAACATGATCAAACACAGATTGTGCACAACGCTTTTGGCCACACAATTGAAAATGGACAGACCATTTCCGGCAGACTGAGATGAGCAGTTAAACGCTGCGGTGTCCCTGGAACGCTGGACCCAGCATTCCTGAGAAAATGTCGGGTGCAGACCATGCACCACAAGTGACGACGGCCTTCACAAAATGTTAATGTTTTCTGCCAATGAAATGATTAGCCTGTTGCAGTTGTATTCTATCAGTTGTCACTAATTACAACTATCATTTACCAAAATCAGCTATCACTATGAACCACTACTAACCAGATTTACTTGGAGGCCGTCGTCACTTGTGGTGTATGGTCTGCACCCGACGCTCTTCTCGTTTTTTGAAAGGGAGAGTATGTATTGGCAGCTGGGTTAGCGAATATCTTCTCTGTGTAACATTAGGAAAAGCTAGAGTTCATTTCAAGCTGGGCAATACCTACGCGTTCTTATAGGAAGTGTCATCTATGTATAATTTCCCATGAAGTCAAATGTCAGTTGCAGATTCCTCGACAGCTAGCACATTCTAAGGCTTTGAAGCTCTTAGAAAGCACAAAAGAGAAGAGCAAAAATAGGGTCGAATGTCCATACAGAGCCTTCTTTCACAAGGTATCAAAACTGGTAAGTAGATGGGAATGAATACGGTGGTGCCAAAAAAAGGGCAATTATGGTGAGGTTATGAAAAACAGAGACATTGCATTGGGTGGGGCGGTCAGGGGCAACATCAAAGAGAACGATGACACGCGCAATCTCGTTGATTCGCCGATTATAGTCGTTTGGAACGACCAGCCCCTGTAATTATACTATTTCGATCCGCTAGGGAGAAGCTCCACTTCAAACGGGACCGACGAAATCTGAGAAACCCACCGTAACAGCTCTACTGTAAATAACAACAAAATTAGACCTTTCCTTGACCTCCGGGATGTTGAGGATGATTCTTGCCCGACAAATATTGCCCAAAGCAGCGTTCTTGTGGTGTTTTCCAATTTTACCCTTTCATCAGAGATACCCTTCACAGAGTGGTGGTTTCTGATACACTAAAAGTACCAACTGCAGCCCCATAAGGGCTAAATTCTCGAGGGTTATGCGCTGGTCTACGGTAGTCACAGGCTGACTACTGCTGTTTATCAATTTCACACAATCCGAACAAAGGGAGTACGTATTACGCTAGCGTACTGTCAATTATGATGTCGTTATAATAGTGACATCTGCGGTGTCGGTGAGTATGTGCGGTGAAGAGGGAGATCCAGAGGGAGCAGAGGCTCTCGTCTTGCTTTCAGATGGGACCCGTTGACCTTCGGCGGCTCGGTCTTTGCCCATTGACACAATATTATGATGTCTATTAAGCGCTACCCCTTAAGATATCCCTGCCCAAATAGCTACCAGCTTCGGCCAAAAACTGCCTCCAGCTTGTGCCTAATAGTCAAATATAGACTGCTCGTGCTAATGACCTCGAGTGGAATCAGTGCAATCATCCACACACAAATCCCAATATTAGCTCTGCTTATTTACACAATGATTGCACTCGGCACACTTCCTGGCTAATTGCCAACTGCCACCTGCACATCGCGCTCTTAGACTCAAGCTGAGCACTTCACTAAGCATTATGGTCTTGAGTCAATCATTTAGGGCCATGGAAGTGGAGACAACGATGACTGCAAAAAGTAGCCAGTAAGCAAACGTTTTCCAACTCTTAGCTTCTATGTCCTAAAACCTTTTAAGCCCCACCTTCGAATTCGAAAGTGATACAAGGGCTTTGCAATCCTTTAAAATTCGATGGAAATTTAGCTCTTTGTTCATTGGCTATGTCTGTCTCGTACAGTTTGTTTTCCCAACTTCTTTAGCCTGCGCAAAGGTGCCAATGAGTAGCCTGAGGGACAAAACAGCTACATTTCGTCAATATTCTCCTCTCACCAGCAAAATAAGGACAGCATTTAATTTAGACAGCATAGAGTAAACGCAACTAGTAGTAAGTAAAGAGGGATAAACCTGCAATCGCGAGCAGATTGAGGAAAGCCTTTTTCCATTGCGTCTAAATGGGGCGTTTAGAGGAACCGAATAGGGAGTTGGGCCTTAAGTTGTTTCTTAAGTCATTTTTTCTGGATTTTTTGCAACAATAAGCTTTGTCATTATTCAAGTAAATGCTGTGTCTTTAGTGCTCTACACTGCCTAAATTTAAAGTGGCCCTTAATTCAGCGACAATGCTACCGTAACCGGGCTGTATCAAATTCCCATGAACTCTGTGACCCTCGCATCAGATAGCTGTCAATTAAAGGTACACCGCTGTGCAACATCTGAACTTGCATTGTTTAACGCGGTAATTGGCACTTACCAAAATGACGTAATCCCTAAGCACACCTAATCAATGCCTACCGTACTCAGATAGCGTGGTGTGACCGCGTAGCGCGATGTACACCCGCAATGCCTTGCACCTGTTGCCAGATTTTCTTACCCGCTTGTTGGGTCACTCGTAATACTCATAATGCGCTAATTAAGAAGCGGTTAATGATCAGCTTAAACATCGGTAATTAAATATCATAATCACATGAACATGTCAGATTAAGGTCATCAAGATATCTGGGAATTGCACCGAATGACGATACGGGCAGAAATAGGTAGCGATGTTAATTTCGTTTTCTAACCTAGAAGTAATAAAAAATGGTGCATTCGGCGAGATAAGTCTTGCTTTGGGAGTGTCAGACATTGTACTC